TTTTTTTTTTTTTTTTTTTTTTTTTTTTTTCTTTAAAAATTATATTTTGAATTATTAAAAGATACTTAAAAATAAAAAAAAAACAATAATAATCAATATATACATTTTAATAACTAAATATTTAAATCATAATTATTAATAGTTTGTTTAATACAATATTCCTTGTGATAATGTATCCATTTTTTTTTTTAAAAGTTAATACATTCTTAAATATATTTATTTATTCAATATATGTAGCCTTCATATATATATTGTATTTCCTTTAAATTTACATTAAATTTTATCAATATATTTTGTATTTTATCTATTAAATTTTAACATACTTCTTATATAAGTCTTAATGTTTTTATATAAAAGCTTGTTTGAACATATATATATATATATATATATATATATATATATATATATATATATATATATATATATATATATATATATATATTTTTAGAATATAATTGAAAGCATATATAAATTATATAATATATTAATAAATTTATATATACCCATTTTTAATAATTCTCAGGAAAAGATTGAATTATCAATATAAAAAAAAAAAAAAAAAAATTTTATGTTTTCTTTTATAGTCCATATAAAAAATTTAAGACAGTTTTATTTTATTAAAAAGTATTACGAATTTATTTATAAAATAAAAAAAAAAAAAAAAGACAGGAAGAAAAGGAATTTATAATAATCATAAATATATATACATAATTTGTTTCACTTTTATTTTTTATAAAAATAAAATAAATTAATGAAATATATCAAATTATATGATTGTAAAATTCATTATATGAAGCTAATATATCACTTTTAATTTTAAACATATGAATGTTGATAATTTTTGAGACTTATATATCTCTTTTTTTTTTTTTATTATTATTTTTATATTTTATTTAATCATAAGAATAATCTTTATATAATTGTTTTATTTTATTTTCTTTATTTTAATTATGTTTTCCTAGTTTTAAATTTGTCAACCACTTTGTTTTTTTAGATATTTAATAAATTAAACTTATGTTTTGTTGATAATATTGAAAATTAAGTTTTTTTTATTAATGTCTAGTTTAAGAAAAGTTTTTTAATATTCTATTTTTTTCTTTTTTTTTTTTTTTGTTTTTGTTTTAGAGGAAATGTTAGTTTATTATATTTTTTTTTAAATAATTTTTAATGAAATTAATAACATTTGCTCTATTATATCTATGATATTTTCATTATAATTATATTTATATCACTCCTACATATAAGTGAATGATTCATTATAGTTTTATTTATATTTTCTTCTATAATAGATAATCTATACATTTTATAGAAGAATTGGATACACACTTACGGTTTAGTTTTTTTTTTAACAATTTATTCCATCATATATATATATATATATATATATATATATATATATATATATATATATATATAGCTTCTTAAGAATATGTATATTTTATTAAACAAAATAAGAATCTTATAAAAAGTTATATTTACAGGTATGAACTTGTAAATATATATTCCTAGATTAAATATTATTTAGGAGTTTCATTTAAATACTCTTTTTAAAAGTATAATTGACACTATTTTTTTTTATTATTTTGATTAAACTAATATGATAAAAGTATATAATGAATTATAACCGTATTTTTTTTCTCTTTTTTTTTTTTTTTTTTAATTGTATTTATGTTGATTGTAACTATTTTTTAAATGAATTTATAGTTATTGTTACATTATAAAAAAATATTTTAAATATGGATTTTTTTTTTTTTGAATTTTTTCGCATTTTATTAATTGAAATAACTAAAAACCAAAAAAAAAAACAAGGTATGTCAATGAATATTTTATTAAAAATTTAATTTTTCAATAAAATATAATTTTAAAAGAACAAAAAATTAAAAAAAAGTTTTATTAAAAAAAAAAAATATGTAGTGAATCATATGATATTATCACATAAATTTGTTACTTTAAAAAAAATTATTTGCTCAATATAATAAAAATTGTGTACATGAAAATTTTTTTTTGTATTAATTTTTTTTTTATAAATAAATATATGCATATAAAGAAAACTTTTTAATTATATAATATTAGAATTTTTATTTTTATTAGACTTTATTATATAATGTATGTTATTTAAATTTTGTTATTTCATTTTTTTTTTTTTTTTTTAATTATGCTCATTTTTTAATAATTTATTATATACCTTTCTTAATAGTTTTTTTTTTTTTTTTAAACTTGCACTTTTAAAAAAAAAAAATATATATATATATTTATATAAAATTAGCCTTTTTCTTTCTCAATTTTTTACTTTTTTTTTTTTTTTT